AGATATATATATATATATATTAGGGGTGGAAAGGTACACATATGTCACGAGTCGGTACATACCTCGGTTCAGGGGTCACAGTTCGATACGATTTCGGTACAACAGGGAAAAAAACTAATCTACTATGCTCGATTTTTTTTCATTTATTTTGAACAGACAGTAGTACAAACTAAAAAAATGTCCACCTAGATGTGAAAATACTAAATATTATTACATTATGTTATATACATATATATATATATATATATATATATATATATATATATATATATAAAATCTGCAGTACATAAATACATTTCAAGGAATAAATTCTTAAAATATATTTGATTTAATTTACAGATAAACAAGGGGGAAAAAAACAGTGCGACGCGTAACGTAGCCTATATACGCTGAGTTTCAGTTCATTTTTGTGACAGGCTCAAATGGCAGAAAGCGACATCCTATTTAGTTTTCTTTATTTTACAAAAGCACAATGTTTTGTTTTCATTGTGAGTGTACACAAATAAAAGCAGACCTTTATACAGTGATGCATTATTAATAAGACAATAAGTGTTTAAAGTTGATTCCGCTGGTATAAGGAAACAGTTGAAGTGATCGCGCCGGCACGCACGCACGCACACACACACACACAAAACACATCAATTCCAGCATTGCAAACTTGACAGCGCAGTTGGTACTTTATCAAAATAAAATGCAGTGAACCAAACATCAGCTCTGTGTCACCGTTGGAACGCGACTGACTAATTTGCATAATAAATAAATGTTTAGCATTCAGATACGTTACATTGCAAACATGGAAATATTATGGAATATTTGGATTTGTGCCGAATGAGAGAGGTAGGATACAAGAGCACAAAGATCCATTTCGCAAACAGTTGAGTGCACAAGCCTTTAAAGGGGTCCTATTATGCTTTTTCACTTTTAAAATTTTAGTCAGTGTGTAGTGTGTATGTTTGGGCATAAAAAAGATCTAGAAAGTTACAAATCTCAAAGTACACTCCAAAGGGAGATATTTGGTTTTTAAAAAATCCCTTTTCAAGAACTACAACGAATGGCTCGTTTAGACTACAGTGTTTGTTTTCTGGGTTTTATGATATCACAAAGCGGCTCATTAGAATATCATTAAAAATAATTCCCGCCTACAAAAATTTGAATGGTTGGGGGTTGGGGAGGGGCGAGGTCATGGTTAGAACGCTTGGTTGAGTGAGTGCATCAGACGAGACGACGAAGAAGAAGTGCTGCTGCAGAGTTAGTGCATCAGAGAAAACCAAGAAGAAGAGCTGCTGTGCTGTAGCCTCATTTTTAGAAAATAATGTATTAGAATTTTAAAGACGTGGCGCCAAGCGACGCTGTGCTTCTCGTCCGGTGCGCGACCGCCTGAAACGCTGTTTTTTTTCACCTCTGTGCCCAAACGTCCTTATTTGGGCTTCCGAAAGCAGATGATGTCAGGAAACAGTGGTTGCAATTTATTTTTTTATAAAACCCCAATATAATATTATATATAATATTTGCTATTGTGTGCTGCGCATTTTACTGAGGACAGCTTCCACAACACGAGGGAGTACAGCGCCGGATTCGCCAAAAGCTTTTGTTGAAAGACGGAGCAAGGGGGTGTGGCAGTACTGAAACATCGTCTAAGCTTTTCGGAAGGCAGACCTTCATCAAAGTCGGAACTAATCGAGCCGTTTGTGCCAGCTTGGGGAGAAAGGTATTGTAATAATGTAAATGATGTGAAAAATAATGCGTTTTTCGAACCACCAAGCATGAGAGCATGTTCTAGTACACCCCCAAAACAAAATCAAGACTTTGTAAAGGAGCATAATAGGACCCCTTTAAAGGATACTCCTTTGTCAGTCTGTGAGAGATGCATTCAGAATCAGCACATGGTCACTGTCTAGTGGGCTTTGTTTTCAAGTGCGCAACTCATGGCATTCGCTGTTCTTCTGCTGGCGGCCGGTTATCAAACAGCATTGCATTGCTGCGGGCGCCCCCTTCTGGATTGGGGGGTGAATTGCCTGTATTCGTTGTAAGGCCTCATGCACCGAACTGAGATGTCCATACCGTGACGGTTCGGTACGAATACATGTATCGTTCCACCCCTTATATAGATATATATATATATACACACTTTTAATTTCGAAATGAAATATTTTTGTACAAGTCAACCTTTTGCCAGTTTGTTATCTCACTATAAAGTGTTTGTGCAAAGTCACAATTTTACTCATTACTCATTTGGCATGTGAAGAGTTTAACAGGTTATTTATATCTAGAAGTCTTGAAGGTACAGCAGTGAAATTGTGTTGAACTCTAAGGGTCAGAGGGTGGAAAATGTCATGTAAACAGTTTAATTTTTCTGTCTTTGCTCTCACTTTTCTCATACTCAGGATGTTAAGACACCTCAATGTGTGTGTGTGTTTGTGTACTCACACCAGCATAGTGCGCAGTTTGAGGAAGTCGTTGTGTTCAGGGTTTTCCACCTCCACCACCCCCCACGGGTACAGGCGTCCACGGATCTTCTTCCCCTTCACCTCTATCAGCTGGTTGGAGCCGATCACTGCGAACGGGATGCTGGCCTGCACACAAACACACTCCTTCAACTTCAATCAAAGCCTTCGGGAGGCGGTCAGGCAGTGCTGATTATGAACTCAAACACTTTGACCTCTGACCTTTAGGACACGCGTCTGTTCCTTGAATTCTTCGTCCTCGTCCGAATCAGCGTCGGGAAGCTGGTAGATCCGGATCCCATGCTCACTGATCTCATCCAAAATCTGACAAAAAAATTTTTTTTTTAAATGATAAATTTTGACGTTCAGAGTTGTGTCGTCCCAGTGTGACTGCATCAGTAGAATTATGAATGCAAAAAAAAAATCTTAATTATACTTAAATTAAATCTTTCCTTTTTTTTCCAGAAAATTTAGCTTTGATCAAAGAAATAAATTATATTTTAAAATATATTCAAATGGAAATTAGTTATTTTAAATAGTAAAAATATTTCACAATATTACTGCTTTTTATATACATTTATATATGTATATTCTTATATTTTACATTATATATAAATATATTTAATATATAAACATAACATTTTTCTTTAACATATATATGCATGTGCTTGTATTTATATATACATAATAAATATACACAGTACACACACACACATATATTATGTAAACAAAATGTTTTATTTTGGATGTGATTAATTGCGATTAATCGTTTGACAGCACTAATATATATATATCATTATATATTAGATATAACATATCATTTCTTTTCTTTTTTTTACTATTTACTATAACTATAATAACCCTGGTGTGAATTACAAAAAAAACAAGAGTCATGTCATTGACCCTTCATTTGAAGTACCATGAGGCCGTCATATTGTAGTAACTCACAAATTTGCGCCATAACTCGTTACTGATGTTTCAACCATTTAACTCTTCCACTCTCATAAACAGCAGATGGTTGCTTAGCTAGTCGTGGGAATCTACATATATTCATGAGATTTTCTGACAGTCTGATGAAATACACTAAGAAATCATCACTACTGTTTACAAGACTGCAAAACATCACTGCTAATACATGCTTGTGTGAGTTAGAGCGAAAGCTTTTTAGCATGAACGCTGGAAGAGAAGATTGTGTTAGTGTGTGTGGGTGTGTGGGTGCATATTGTCTTGTTTTTAGAAAGCTGGTCGGCTGGTGTTACAGTAATTATGTTTCCTTCACAGCTATGAAGTCAGGTGGCACTCAGCTGAAGCTCATCATGTCATTCCAGAACTATGGACAAGCACTGTTCAAACCTATGAAGTAAGTGATATTGCAATCTTTCAATTTAATGAATGCACGCCCAGTGGAGAACCAGTTTTTTTCAGAATGTACCCTGCATACTTTCATTCTAAGTGTATTTAAGAGGCGTGGACTAAGTCTTTTGTGTTTCAACAAAAACATGTTGTTCTGCTTTTGGATGTTGTCCAAGATGATGATATATGTAGATGTAGTCTTTCTACAGCTGTAAAGAATGTATGAGTAAAGAGAAAAGCTGTAAAGAGAAGTATGTTAAAATAGAATGAGGTTTACAAATGACACAATCAGTTTAAACTCACATCATTTTTCTAACTCTTAGGCCTTAAAGGGATAGATTCCAAAAATGAAAATTCTGTCATCATTTATTCACCCTCATTTCGTTCTAAACCTATATGTGTTTCTTTCATTTGTGGAGTAAAATAAGAAGAATATATTTTGAAGAATGCTGGTAACCAAACTGATTTGAGTCATGTTCACTTCCATGGTATGGACAGATATACTATTGAAGTCATTTTGAACCTAAATGTTTGGTTGCCAACATATGAAGAGTTCAGATGCAAAAGCCTCTTAAGTGCCATCTGAAAATTTCTTCTGAAATGAGCATTTTTCTCAGGCTCTTATGTTTATGTTCAGTTATTTCACTTTAATGGCAATGAATAGAACTTATTCTTACACACAGGCAAATAATACATAACACAAATAATACAATAATCCAGATTATTTTGTATTAACAACTTAAAATTATAATTAATTTATAAAATTATTCATTTAAAATTATGTTACACATGTAGATATATATACATGTATATACAAATGTGGCCTTTTGCCATTTGATACGCACAAAATTCATTAAAAAGTCTTCACTAAACACAAACAAAGATTTATGATTTCTGTGCTGTTCCATGTTTGTAGCAACTGTTATGAAATTGCTCTGATTGCTAAAAACATGGTAATTCTACAATGATTTATGATGCCTGTACCAATCCATTTTAGTTTAGAAATTGCAGTTAATGTTCTTCCAAAACACTGGAAACTAGTCCGAGTTCATGTCTTGAACTTCCAAAGTTCTCTCAGCACGTTGTCATTTGGACTGTTCTCAGAGAGCTCAGAGGAAACTCTTTGATGCTAAAAACAGGAATCGTATGAATCACACAATGTAAACTAACCACTGGATCCACACGTAGCAGGTCTGGTGCCAGTCAGAGTCAAAAGAAGTCAGATAACAGATACGATCAGGCCAGAAACAGATCTTGGGCAGAGAGCTGAAAACCTCACACCACTTCAAGATTTCCACCGAACACCAAACTCAACCTGTGCAAACTATCTGGGAGATATTCCTAGTTCAGTGTGTCAGAACAAACTGCTAAAGCGAATATGAGATTGAAAAATAGCCTCGCTTAAGCCAAAACCACATAAAAAAGCCACATTTCCGAAGCACCTGTGGCGGATCAGACTTTAGGATTTATTTTTCTAACTTCAAAGCTGTTTTTCTAAGAAGCACATTCACAATGCCATTACGTAGTGACGCCACCAGCAGCCTCTTCCTGACATTCTCAGTGCTTTCATGTAATCTCAGCGGGGACGCGTTTCAATGGGAGAGTAGCTCCTGCTCCCCATGCGCTTTACAGAAACCCCCTCCTGTTATGACTAGTCCTGTTTTCATAGCGAGGAACCGCAGCGAGACCGGCTCGCACGGGACTGTGCATGTTATTGCTTGTGTGGGTGTCACTGTTGTGTGTTCTGAGTCCAAATAAACACGTGCATGACCGTATAAATGTGCTTCGTCTGATCAAACTATATCGAACAAATGAATAAGCGTGCAAGATTTATAAGGGCCCATCTTTCCCATTCGTGCCAAATCTGGGGTGTGGGGTGTGGAGATACTGAAATTCTGTATGACTTGATCTCCAAATGGGCAAATAAACACATTGCTTCACAATGAACAAAGAAAAATGGCACAATGGAGACTTTTATGCACGAGAAAGGGAGTTAAGATATGGCTGTACATGAAAATTTAAACAAGAAAAGCAGATTAGTGAATGTGCAAAATGACATTTTCATAAGCGGCTGGTCAGTGGATTCGCAACACAGTTGCCACACAACAGCCAAATGGCATGTGAACATCAGTGTTGATGATGCTAACCAAAAATTGAAACGATTTAAAAAACACTTTTGTTAATTGAAATAAAGCTGCAATAAAATATAAAGTGAAAAACCTAAAATAAATAAAAACTTAAAATGTTGCCTTGGCAGTAGGGCTGCACGATTGTGACAAAAATCATAATTGTCGATTAATTCCTTGAAATTGTAATTACGATTATCACAATTTACATTGAATGATGTTTATACCATTGTTTGAAGCAACTGCATGCCGTATTTGTATATGAAAATAAACAAGCTGAAAACACTCTAACTGAAAAACTTTTAGTGCTTTTCTATAGTATTAAGCCTCAAATGTCAACTATACATCGGACTGGTTTCTTCTTTAAATTATAAAAAAAGTAAAAATATAAATGGTATTATAGTGTTATACTAAAACTAAAATTAAAACAATGGAAAAACCCTTAAGATAACATGTAGAAAGAAAAAGAAAAAAAGCATCTTAAGCACACAGAATAACATAAGTGGACTTTGAACGATTAATTGCCGCTTTGAACGATTACGTAATTGTGGCATCCATAATTGTAATCGCGATTAGAAATTCGATTAATTGTGCAGCCCTACTTGGCAGCCAACTGAAAAAAGCTTAAGTACTAAAATGACTAACTAAAATAACACAAAAAATTCAATAAAAATTAAAACTGTTTATAAATATATTTTTTAAAATTACAAAAGCACATAAAATTACTAAAAAATTAAAGGGGTCATATGATGCTATTTTAAAGATCATTTGTGTATTTAGTGTAACAGATTATGTTGACATGCTTTAATGTTCAAAAAACACATTATTTTTCAAATACTGTACATTATTGTAGGTCCTCTACGCCCCGCCTCTCTCAAACGCTTCGTTTTCTACAAAGTCCCTCCTTCCGACAAGCGCAGTCTGCTCTGATTGGCCAGCTGACCCAGTGCATTGTGATTGGCCGAACACCACAAGCATGCGTCGGAAATGTAACGCCCCTTACCATAATCGCAGCTTCAGCTTTCAAAGTAAATATCAAGACAGTTAATAATGTCGTTAGTTTTACCAACAGTTCAAGCCCGAAAGGGCAACAGAGTCGCGTGACAGACACAGTGATGATGCAGTACACAAGCCGCGGTTAAGACAGCTGACGTGCTATGATTTCTGACAGGCAGTTCACTCTCCTGTGATGTGACCCTGTTCCCCTCACACACACACACACACACACACACACACACACACACACACACACACAATGCGTTACTCTGCACTGCGCAAAACTCCGCATTTGAACAGTCAATAGCAAATACTTAAACTAGTAACAAAACATACTTACAGTCGCTGATTCAGAAGCGCCAGATTGTCATAGCAAAGTCGGAATTGACCCTTTTTTTTTTTTTAGAAATAGCCTTTGCACAGCCAGCCTTGTACTATTCTAGGTTAAAAAAAACTGTCGTACATAAAATGCGTTGCACAAATTCAAACATCTGGGTTGTGCTGTTCTGTTGTAAATAAATCTTAACCAATGATTTCTAATTGCATCTACTTCCGGAAGGCCAAATAAAGTGCTTTTGCTTTCGCACTGAAACACACAGCGTCTCCCTGACATGCTGCTTCAACACTACTGCTGTTCCTTCTTTCTTTGCGTGCACATTTGGGTGGCATTATGCTAATATTTCCACATATTGACGTAGATATGTGGGGGAGTGTTAGAACGAGCCGTTTTAGGTAGGTGTGGCTGACTCTTAACTTTTATAAAGAATATCTCTTTGGATTTGAGACTTTAGTCTTTGCAACTTTACAGATCTTCTTTATGCTTCAAGAGCTTGTAACACTCCAAAGAGA